ACCCTAAACCCTAAACCGTGGAAGCCGGAGATTTAGAACGGGGCTCTTTTCATATCCCCAAGCCAGGAGCCTTGCAGGGGCTCAGGCTTGGGGTGTATCCTGTACCTTCACTGCAAGTAACCTACCTTTTCAAGCCTCCGTATGATGATGCCCTTAGAAGCTTGATTTCTTATTCCTTAAGAGGCCAGGTTTTGTAGCCTGGGAGGAAGTAGAGGCGTCGCTGCTTTTTTTTCAAACGTTGCTAGGGGGTCTAGATTTCACAGGTTGGCGCCTGTCAGAGCGCGTCTGACTTCGGGTGGCGTTTCGCCCACTTTTGCGAGAGGCTGCGGAGGGAGCCTGTGGCCTCGGCTGGGAGGAGGAAGGCGTTGGGCTGGTTTTCTGGCGAATCAACGTGGCTGGAGAAGAGCGTGGGGCAGGCTCTTGGAAAGTATACAGCCTGTCTCAACATGTACAGGCTGTTGATGCCCGCAGGCAGGAAGGCTCGGGCCTAACCCCAACACTCCCAAGCCGCCGAGAAACCCTCACATTAAGCCCCTAACCCCCCTTGACCGCTGCATGAAAATCCACCCCTTCTAAAACCCTATAAACCCCAAGCCCCTAAACCACTAAACCCCTCCACCCCTAAACCCTCAACCCTCCCAGTTCTTTTTCCCATGGAAGCAGCTCTGAATCCAGCGAAAGCCCCGAGGCCCCACAGCACTACGGCCAAAAACCCAGCCCGAAACTCTGCCTAGGCCAATAAAGCCCTGTAGAAACCCTCCTATGGGTAGTTCTCTGAACCAGGGTCCCCTATTACGGCCCTCATTATAAGGGTGCCCTACTGTTTGGGGGACGGGGACCCTAAGTCAGAGAACTACCCTTTTCATCCTTATGCCTCTAAGACTCTAAGCCTAACTAAGCTCTACCCCCTGTAAGGACCTCTCTCCGACGCCCTGAGAAGCCTCAAGGCAGATCTACAAATAGTCCTTGATAGGGTTTAGGGTTGCTGTAAGAGTACCGGCGCCGTCATGAACCCTTTCAGGCATACAAATCATAGTGCCCTGCATCAAGACCCTCCGTGAACTCTTGCACTTCAAAAGCCTTCGTCAATCCGAGCGAATGCTCTGAAGGCCTCGACCCCCCAACCCCACGCCTGAACCCTCAACCCTAAACCCTGAGCCCCAACTCCCTAAAGCCCTAGAGCCCTAGAGCCCTAAACCCTAAAACCCTAAAACCCTAAACCCAAAAACCCCAAACCCTAAAAAACCCTCAAACCTCAACACAGCTAAACCCTAAACCCCCAAAACCCCTATAAACCCTATAAACCCTAGAGAACCAGGCCCCTATCCCCTATAAACCCCTAAACCCCTATAAACCCTATAAACCCTAAGAGCCATATAAACCCCTATAAACCCTAAGAGCCCTATAAACCCTAAGAGCCCTCTAAACCCTAAGAGCCCTATAAACCCCTAAGAGCCCTCTAAACCCTACAAAAAGCGCTAGAGCCCAGGCCCCTCTCAGTTCTCCCTGGCCAGGCGCAGCGCTCTTGAGGCGGCCTCGGCTTTGGTAGCCTCCGAGGAGTCATTCTGTCGGGTCCCAAGATCGGCGTTCAAGTTTTGGGTTTAGGGTTTAGGGTTTGGAGGGCTGTCATTGGGGTTTTTACGGGTGTTTATACATATTTATAAGGGTTTTGTCGGGTTAATATTCGGCTTCTATACGGTTTTCTATGGGATTTTTCAGGCCGTTTCGATGATTTTTATGGGCGCTGCAGAAGGATTTAGTCGCTGGCTTTTGCGATTTGGGGTTTAGGGTTTGGGCGGAGGCTTCCGGTTTGACAGTGGGGGCTCTTGTAGAGAACAGGGCATGCGCGGTGCAATCAAAGTCGGGGTGAAATGAACTTGCAATAATATGCCTTCTATACCTCGAAACCCTCTTCTAACAGATTCGAGTGGTCTCACGCAGCAATCTTGGGGTTGTAGGAGTTGTGGTCGACAGGGGTGGCTCAGGGCTTAATCACTCAAGATTGAAGACTTGGGAGTGGGAGCAATCAGGGCACTCGCCTAAAGAGCAGTATCACTAGCCCCACAGGCGGCAATGTCGCCTCGAAGCTGGAGGACTCGTAACCTGAAGCGCCGGGTCACACCTCTAAGTGTCGGAAGATGCCTTTTGAAGACAAAAAAAGGAATCAGCCACAGAGTTTCGGCAACTCCCGGAGCTCACCTTGTCCGTTCTTTGCTTGACGACTACTAGGCGTGCCGGTTGATGGGTAGGTAGTATAAGTGGGTTATATGTCCCTTTATAGGGTTATCGCAACAGTTACCCTACTTTGTAACCCGAATTACAACTAAGCAATAAGTGGGTTACAAGTCCTGTAAATGGGTTATAAAAGCAGTTACCCTACTTATAAGCCAATTAAAACTAAGCTATGGGTGGGTTATAAGTCCTGTACGAGGGATATAGCAACAGTTACCCTACTTATAACCCCCCATTACAACTAAGCTATAAGTGGGTTCCCTAAACCGTAAACCCGACTTCTCAGCCCCAATCACAACTAAGCTATAAGTGGGTTCCCTAAACCCTAAACCGTAAACCCGACTTATCAGCCCCAATCACAACTAAGCTATAAGTGGGTTCCCTAAACCCTAAACCCTACTTATCAGCCCCAATCAAAGCAAAGGCAAACCTTCCAAATTCAGGCCACGAGGTCTTCAAGGCAGTCACAGACACGAATGCGCAGGCCGGCTGGAGACAAACAGCGAAGCAACCCTGCAGAGGGTTTAGGGTTTGGGGTTTAGGGTTCAGGATTTGGGGTTTGGGGTTTAGGGTTTAAAGTTTAGGGTTTGGGGTTTAGGGTTTAGGGTTTGGGGTTTAGGAGTTAGGGTTTGGGTTTAGGATTTAGGATTTAGAGTTTAGGGTTTAGGAAGTTACCCCGGAACTCCAAACACACTCCTAAAGCTGAGCCGCGCAGTTTGCTGTTTGGGATATTCTTGGTTTGTGGGACTCGTGGACAGGCTCCAAGTCCAATCTTTTGAATACCCCTAACCCTAAAACCCTAAACCCTAGAACCCTAAACCCCAAACCCCTAAACCCCAAGCACCCCAAGCCCTAAAACCCTAAAGCCCTAAAGCCCTAAAGCCCCAAGCCCTAAGCACCCCCAGCCCTAGAGGCCCTTGAGGCCCCACATTCCAATCCCGAACCAGTCGCTTCAACTCGAAACTGAATTCATGGGATGGCAAACGAGGCTAAAGAATTTCGGTGCAGGCAGGGATTAGGATGTCAAACTTTTAGAGTATGCGTAATAGGGGTCATGTACGGATGATATGATATGCTACGATATATAGTATGATATGATATGATATGATGTACGATGCTGTAAATCTTCCGCCACGCAAAGCTATCAGATCATGGTTCGACCTGGAAGCACTGAGCTTCAATGTGTGAGGTTTTACACCCCCTGCACTCTACAAAGCACCCCCAGTTGGAGGTTAATGGGTACTTACCTGTAGATGGAGCTATTAGTCCCTTAGTAATAGAGGTTGTGACTAGAATTAAACAGGAAGTTCCAAACCCAAACCCCTACATCCGAAAAGTGGTCGTGTGAGGTCCGTGCTGCGGCCGCCGTGCTCTCAGCCTTCACTGGCCGGGGGTTTTCAATGCACTACTTGTAGGACTCCAAAAAGTTCAAAGTAGGTACTTCCCATGGAGGTTAGACCTCATGGTAGGTACGATTTGTTTGAACTGAGTGGCCCTACGGGCTCGAGGAAACCTAAACCCCAAGGTCCCCACACATTTCTTTGGATCGTTGTGGCGGGCTGTTCAAGACTGGCTTGCCAATCCATCCCCGTACGTTTATACTAAGTTTATACTGCCATATACCCCACAAACCCTCACAACTTTCGTTCGTGAGTTCGCCGCGGCTCAGATTCGCAGCCTCCGTCTCCTCTGCTCTCCGTCGACCGTCCCTGACTACCATGGCATCCCCAACCTCCCGCGATGCCGCCGTCGACTACAAGGGCCTGGGCCACAAGCAGGCCCAGCCGGAGACCCGCACCTCCCGCAAGTGGTACCTCGTCGGTGCCTTGGGGACGAAATATAGCCTAAAAGGGTTTATAGGGTTCATATACCATATAGGGATTCATAGTATAAGAAGGGTATAGGGCCCCTACTTTTAAGGGTCATGTCGCCCTTGAGGTGCTGGCCTGGCACTGATGGGCGTGGTTGGGGTGACCGCCAAGGCGGCTCACTCCGGCGGCGCCTTGTTTTCCTCGAGTGCCACGAGGGGAGGTGCGATCCAGGAGACACAGACTTGGGAGGAGCTGCCCGGCATCGACAAGGTGATCCGAAGCTTGGCGTTCTTCTGGTTGGCCCTTAGGACTTTAACTTTTGGGGTTTCTATATGAACTATAATATCTCTAGGCCAAAAGCTTATCTTTTAGGAGGAGTTCAGAAGTCAGCCAAGGAAAGGCCCAGAGCTTGAAGCAGGACAAGCCCTTGCGCAACTTGCAGGATCTCTTCTATGACTCGCAGCCGGAGGAGTTGCCCTGGAGCCTTGGAAGCGAAACTGCTTTGGGTTTAGGGGGCCAGTTTTGGGGGGGTTTTGGGATGTAAGGTGTGGAGTTCTTGAAGTCCGGTATGGCTCTGAAACTTGGTTAATGTAGGGTCCTTCAGAATTGGACTAGGACTTGGTATTAGTTTTTTTTGTGTTTTTTGCGGAGGGTTTGTACTTTTTTTGTGCTAGTCGGGACCTCGGCCGCAAGAGCTAAGGGTCTCGGCCGCTACGGCTTGTTGCTGTTACTACGGTCTAGGTTTAGGGTTTAGGTTTTAGGGTTTCTCCTAAACGATGACGACGACACTGCTGCTGCTTACGATACTACTACTTACTGGCACTGTCCCTTAAAGAGCTATAGTTCGCACAAGGACAGCCTAGGCAGTCCCCCCGGCCCTCAGGGAGCACAAAAAAAGGCTAGGTCAGCATAAAGGAAGGAGTCACAGCATGAAGAAAACCCGGGCCAGGCATGAAAAGCAAAAAAGCAGGTCCAGCACAAGAAGACAACCCGACACGGGCCCAGCATAAACCAAAGCAGGGTGTAGCATAACATAAAATTAGTTTTAGGGTTTTGGGCTCCTTGCTAATATATTTATCATAAGGAACCCTACTGTAACAGTAAGATTTGTTCTTTTTGGGGCTTCTACATTATCTGGTAAGTAAGGATCCGCACGGAGTGCGTCATTGACACCGTCCAGGCTGCCGCCTACCTTGGCCAGGCTGTCGTGTTCCTCTACAAGGCCATTGACTACGATGGCCTTGAGTGCCCCAACAACTCTCCTGTTGGATGCGCTGCCAGCGTCGCAGGCTTCATCACGTCCATCAGCTGGATCGCCTCGTACCTGTCCTTTGCCGCGAACGCCTGCGGCCAGGCTGTCAACAACGGTGCGCTATGTGCTGGCGATTTCACTGCTCTCATGGCCAACTTCGGCGAGATCGCCACTGTGGGTGCCGCTGCCAGGGCAGACTGCGACTTCGGCAAGAATGCCCTCCAGATCCTCACACGCACGGAGACGATCTCCCCTCCCTGGAAGGAGTTCGTCCCGGCAGGAGCTTCGCCGGCGGTCGACAAGGCCTTGAAGATCAAGGGCCACAAGGACCAGCAGCGCAACCGTGACTACGACATCGTGCAGTGCGCCGTGGACGTCACCAACTCCGCTTCCTACATCGTCCGAGTGATCCTCCAGATTCGTGCCGCGGGCAGCGCTTGTGCGGACCCCAAGTCCTGCGCCGTTCCTTGGGGACCTTATAAGTAGGGGCCCTATACCCTTATACCATGAATCCCTTTTCTGGCATATGAACCTGAAACCCTTTTAGGGCTCGTTTCGTCTTTAAGGTTGGCATCATGAACATCATCTCCTCCTTCGCCTGGATCTCCCAGTTCACGGCCCTCGCCGTCTCGGACTGCCAGGTGGGCGCCGACCAGAAGGCCCTGTGCACAGCAGAGCCGCGGCTGAGTACTTTTGGGGGCTTGAAGAATTCCCTATACTACTTTGGGGTTCCTGATTATTATAGATATAGAATAATGGGCCCCAAAACCCTATTCTAGTTATTAAGGCTCCTATATTTATATTATGTGCACTTGCACTGTTTTGGCATCCTCCAACACCGTCTACCCATAGGCCCCTAGGTAGTTCCTTTTTCTGGCTTATATTTAGAATCCTACAAGGTAAATCCCAAAAAGGAACTACTTAGGGGCCCATGGGTAAAGCTGAAGCCTCTTCTTATCTTTTTCGGTTCGATCAGCGGAGCAACTAAGGACATCTCCGACATGGTGGCCGCGCTCACCAATGGCCCGGCTGCCGGCATCGCCTCCACCTCGGACTGTGCTGACCTCTAAGTCGCCATTTTGCAGCGAAAGAGCTGCGTTTAACTGCAAAACCGTCGCTAGGGCGGCGGCCGCAGCCTTCTCAGGAAGGCAGTCTCCAATAGCTTGACTTGATTTTCGGCCCCCGTTGAACCGTGTTTCCAGAGGCTTACTGACAGGCAAACCTGCAGTGAGCAATTCTGGAAATTTGGGGCCAGCCGAGCGGTTGTGATCGTCTTGAAGCAGGCAGAAAAAGCGTCAAGCATTCATCGACTTGGTAGCTCCAATTGCGTGCGACGTTTTCGCAGATATAGCCTCGAGTCATGCGCGGATTCGTTATCCGCTGTCTCTGAATTAAGCTGCATTCCATGTATAACTTCAGGAGTTTCTTACCTATGCAATGTTTCTGGACCCAACCCAACCACTGCCTGACATATCTTCATACAGACCCAGTCGTTGCTACAGTTGGGGTGTGCAGGTATTTAGCAACTAGCAACAGCAAACCCCTTATAATTACTCAACATGAGCAGGGGAAAGCATCCACACCCTATTCTCCTTATGACGGCCACTGTGTCAAACATACCTGTTCTTGGTTTGTATGCCCGAGACTGACCTGAATTGGGTTGTAAGCCTCTCCTTCCACCCAGCTTTGGCCGTGAAGCGTATAGAATACGGTTGATGATATTAATCCTGCATTACCCATAATCAGGAACATAACATAGTTCCCATTGTTTTGGGTCCTCAAGGTAATGCAGGATTTATAGATTATCATCAACAGTAGTATAGAGTCAGGAGGGTGAGGGTTGAGGGGTTCGGGGTCTTCCACGAACTCAGAAGACAGATTTAAAAGCCCCAAAATCGCTGCGGAGCTCACGTCGCCTCCTCTTGCATTCAATCTTCTATTTTTCCTAAAACCTGAAAGCCAACCCCAAACCCTAAACCC